CATCTTCCCTTTGAAATTTTGGGAATTTCATCTTCACCATTTCTTGTAGTTTAAAGACCACTGGAAGCCTCTGATCAATTTGAATGATACAGTCTTCCATTTCACACATTTTTGCCTGTCATCATGTTTTTGTGCTCACGAGTTGAAAGATTCTGGGCCAGTATTCCTGGAGAGTGAGGCTTTTGATGCCATTGATACAGGATTTAGGAGGGAATGAGAAAGAAGTAGAAGGAAAGAGCGGAAGAGGGAAGAAGAGAGCTTAACAGAGAGAAACAAGAGCTTCAGTTATTATTCTTCCAGTCTGTCCAAAACATACCAAAGTCATGCTTAATCTATAGGTATTTGACCCATAACCATTATATCCTAACTAACAGTAGCCGACTAACTCACATTTCTTTCCTATTAATATTTACACAGGAACGCTAGCTCCTAATATTCGGGTTATCCTTTATTGATGGCACTAGTTGCAAAAGTTTTGAGTTATTTCCATTGTCTTACAATAGGATTCCAATCCCAACTTTTTAATGTGTACAGGAATCTCACTGAGTTAGCATTGCTTTACTGCCATAGAATAGGTGATGTTAGCCTTCTTGAGGTGGGGCAGGGGTGCAAATTCTTGCACGCTCTTCACTTGGTAGATTGCTCAAGCATTGGTGATGATGCCATGTGTAGTATAGCTAGTGGCTGCCGTAATCTAAAGAAACTTCATATTCGTCGATGTTACAAGGTAACAACTTCAAGATTATGTTGTTCTTAAGAAGCTGGCATGAATGACATCAATTCTTTTGTTCCCAAGATATATTATTCCAATTAATCAAGCAAGCGAAATAATGTACTGTTTCTCTTAAATTTAAGGCTACATGCTATCTGTTGTTATTTTGCATCTTAGCTACGTGTTTCCATGATTTATTTCTTTGCTTTACTCATTTTTAACTCTGTCCCTCATCTTATATGGTTACATTATTTACTTGCTTTTTACCCTCTCGAGAAAAGAAGTGAAATATAGGAAAAATGTTTGAATGGGTATTACTTAAAAACATGTCAATGACAGATCCCTATTATATATCGCGATACATAATGCAACCTAGTTTCTACGGTTAATTAATTAAGTTTTTCAGGGTAAGTTTTATATGTTTGCTCGTTGCTCTCTTTTTGTTAGTAGATTGGGAACAAGGGAATCATTGCTGTTGGCAAGCATTGTACATCTCTAACAGATCTTAGCATTGAATTCTGCGACAGGTAAGTAAAATGTATTAGAAGTGAGAACTTTAGATTGTTCTGAACATACAAAATATTGTTTATTCTGAAGAATGTCTACCTTAATATTTGTTATTCAATTGCTAGGGTGGGGGATGGGGCCCTTACTGCAATAGCTGAGGGCTGTTCCCTTCGTTCTCTGAATGTTAGTGGTTGTCATCAAATAGGAGATGCTGGAGTGGTATCCATCGCAAGGGGCTGTCCTCAACTCAGTCATTTAGATGTGAGTGTCCTGCAGGTATGTGTTCGTCTGTTTCTCCTTTTGTATACCAAAAACACATGTTTTTAAGTTTCCATAATTTTTTTGTTTCAATAGCATGGATTGGTTTCTTGATTTCGCCATAGTTGTTTCACTTTTGTGCATGACAAACTCCATCAGTTAGGAGCCGCGTATACCATATATCATGCCTGCAAACTTTTGATTGCGCATGTGTTAGCATGGATGTTTGCTGTAAACAATTTTTGGATGTACATTACATAATCATGTAATATCCGTATGGATGGAATAGCTAACTATTTCATTATACATATGAGAATTAGTCAACCTGCTAATAACTATTACCTTCCGAAATTTATTATCTTTCCTTTCTACTTTCCCGTACTTTTTCAATATCTCTCATTATAATTTCAGAATCTGGGCGATATGGCAATGGTTGCGTTGGGTGAAAACTGCACATTACTTAAAGAAATAGTGCTCTCACACTGCCGTCAAATTACCGATGTTGGCCTGACGCATCTTGTCAAGAGTTGCACAATGCTGGAGTCATGTCAAATGCCTTATTGCTCTGGTATAACTTCAGCTGGAGTGGCCACCGTTGTTTCTAGTTGTCCCAACATAAAGAAAGTCCTGGTTGAGAAGCGGAAGGTTAGCCAACGGACAAAGCGACGTGCAGGCTCTATAATTGCCTACTTGTGCGTGGACCTTTAGATCATATACATTTATATCTCTGACCTTGAGGTTTTTTCTATTTGATTTGTGAATATAACAAAATGCTGCTGTTAACTCAGTCTAATCTAATGGGTGCGGAGGATGAGGCAAATTAAGGTGCCCTCCTTTACAGGAATTGTAATTATGAGTATCAATAGTGTAGAAACCAAAGGTTAGATAAAAAATGTTTGCAGTAGCATGGTCTCTGGGTATATATAAAGAGGGTAACTGATATTGATTTAAGACGTTGCGGAGAAACCTTGTTAGGCAAAACCAGAGGTTTGATTTCATGTTACTTCTCCAAGTAATAAGCCTCAAATGTCCTCAGAGAGATCTTGTTCTTTTCTTGGATTTTGGATTCTTTGTTGAAGTATGGATTTGTGCATGGTTTCTGTAATATTTTCCCTTCCTAAACTCGCCTACTAACCCCATCCAGACGCGCAGTTTATTTGATGACTACAGCGTTCAGGATCAATAAACTTTAGCAATGCTATGTTATTCATACATTTATGCGATTGTGCCATATCAACTTTGTTGAAATATACATACAACCTAGTGGTGTAGGTAATTTAATGTGAGAACAGCCATTGTTTATCTTATCATATGGAGATTGCAAATTGTTCTATTTTATCATATTTGGTGAAACAAATCGTGATTTTGATTTATTTCTTTCGTTCTAGGAGTAATGCCATAATTACTGGAATTTTGTTTAGGCGAGGCTTACAGAATAGGCGGTGTTTCAATTTTCCCCATGATGGTAGGACAATCCTTTCCATTTTCGAAATTTCTTTGATTTTAAAGTTGAGAAACTATTTTTAGAAGGTAGTATTTTAACACCAATTTTTTTTTTTTACTGACATTTGACTCTCACTATCTTTTCTTTTAAATATACAGAAGATCATTTTTGTTAACATTATTTTACCCAAGTTGTCAAATGTCTTTTAACATCATTAATAATAGTAAATGTAAAATATTTAGAGATTCTGTCTGCACCGCAGAAGATATCCGAATCATCATGCTTCTAATTCATTTTATATAAAAATTATTATTATTATTGTTATATAAGTTAAACATTTAAATACTTGTAAGAAAATTTATTAAAATCATGAGCACGTGGCATTCTAAAATTACCTAATAAGTTCACATTCAGTTGGATGTGGGGGAATGCATGTTATTAACTTATTACATAGAAGAAACTGTTTCACTTGAGAAAAGATTACTCTAATTTCTGTTAATCTAAAACCTAATTTAATCCCTACTCTAATTATTATTTTCATAGACCTTATGACTTAAATGTGAATAAATTAACATAGAATGAGTTTAGTTTGACAAATATAGGATTGCTGAAGTATCCTAAACTAGTTTATTTTACGCAATTTGAAATTACTAAGCTAAAAAATTCAATAATATAATAATAATTTAAATTGAAGGATAAAAAAATTAAAAAATCACAAATTCAAAGATAATTTTGATTAACATTCGTTAAATAAATTAACTTAACTAAATTTGTCTTATTCATATAAAAACATATATGACTTTTAAAAAACAGAGATGTTGAATATAGTTAACATATATGGTTTGAGCTTTCTTTCAAAAGAGTGACAAATTTTGAAAACATGCAAAGATATAAGAAGTTTGGGTTCCACTTATTACTATAACATGACACAATTGGAAATCAGTTTGTTTCCATTGATCAACTTTTTCAGTAGGCACATCACTTCCATTTCGCTCAAGGTGCTCATAATGCCTTTGACCAAAGAATCACATTTCAAGGGCAACAGACCATGATAGATGATTTTTTCCATTTAGTTTCTCGGAGGTAACTGATGAACTTTTAGAGAAGAAAAAAGTTATGCTAGACTCCATCTCTGAAGAAGACGAATCGCACCAGCGAGGAACAAAAAAACCCTAAGGGTTTAAATGGACGAAATTGTGACGACGACAGATGACGAAAAGCGACAGCCAGACAAATGCTACGAGACTGAAACCAAAACGGGATCAACCCACTTTGCTAACGACTTGAGATTGAAACTGTAAAATAATTCTTGATTGATCCCTCTCATAATTTTCTATTTTTAAGAATAAATTGATACAATAGTAGATGAAAATTAGGATAAGCCTAAACACAATATAATCATGATAGATAGGATAACCGTATCTAATAAAAATATGATTATTTTTCAAAATTTTAAAATTATAACTTCATATTATATTTTTGTCTATTTTTTTTATTTGTACAAGAGAATGTGTGTAAACGTGTTATTTCATATTTAGTAATTAATCAACTACTTTTACTTTAGTAAACCCTAAACTAATTTATGAAGTTAGGCTTTTATCAATTAGCGGCTAGGAAACTAACTCTCTTATAAACTAATTTTGTCAAACCCATATGATTATTTCACTTAATAATTATTTGAGAATCTTTATATTAATACAAATGAATTTATTTGACTAAAATTATGAATTAAATAGACAAATTATTGTTTATTCTAAAAATTTTAAAAACAGTTTTTTTTTTCTTTATAATTATAGAAAACTATAATGACTTATAATTAAAGTTTTAATAATTGATTCAATATTACATATAAAAAATGCTTTATAAAAATTAATAATGAATGATTTAATAGTTCATGTGATAATTATAGGTATTGGATAGTTTAAAAGAAATTGCAACTACATCTCAAAATATTATTTAAAGAAATAATCAAATTTAAAAAATTCAAGAGGTGGTATCAAGGTTTCTTGATGGAATAATTTGTATATGATTTATACACCTAGTTAAAAAAAATAAGAAAATAGTTAGTAGAGCAATTTAACCTGATGGGATAATTTGAATAGAATATAGAAGGGTGGAGGAATGAACGATCGGAGTAGCAACCATGTCCAGTGGATGCAAAATCAGAGCTATATGGATTCTGAACAACCTCGACGTTGTCGTTTTCTCAAGGTACCTTCTCCTTCTCTCCGCTCCAAATCTTAACACGCTCTATGAAAATACATTCAAATTCTCGTTCTTTTCATGCATTAGGAGATTTCCGGTGGTGGAGAAGCGTTGGCGAGCTGCTTGCAACGCCGGCAATGACTCCGATCAACTCTTCACTTCCTTACCCACTAACTCCGACCTCACTGATGCCTTTCTCGACCGAAAGCATAGGTTGCTTTACTTTCTTCTCTCTCTCTCCTCGCATTTCACTCTATACACTCCAATTTATGATTTCGATTTCATTATTAAGAGGCCAAAGGGGTAAACGGCTTATTCAATCAGACAAATCTCGTTTCAATCATCATGTTAATTTCCACTCACCATTTTCTCGGGTGACTTTACTGCATTTGTTTAGGGAGGGATCTGCGCGAGGTTTTGGGATACGCAAGAGTAATTCAACTCTGGGATCAGATTCTTGGGTGGATGATCCCATAACTCGTCATGTTGTCGGTCTTTACATTAACAAAGAAGAGGAGGACATCAAGAATCTGTTGTGGCCTTTAGTCTTGCACACGAAGGGCCTTTACAGTATACTTATTCTACCAATGGTTGAGCCTAGGCATTTAAGGGCATATGCAAGGTTGTGTAAAAGATCTGATTGTGGAACTGCTCTTGGCATGGATGATGGCTTGTCTTCCCTCTTGTTGGATCTTCCATCGGTAACAGGGTATGTTAAGTTAGTTGCAAATGCCACTAACATTCCTGACTAAAAATCATCTCGTACATGTTGGTTTAGGTTGGTTTGTTGTTATTATTATTGAATTTTTTTTCTACTTCTCAAATGTTTATTGAGTCAACGTGAAAGTGATTTTGAAAACATTTACTTGAACATTTTTTAAATGTGCCACGGAGTGGTATATAGAATGAGGTTTTGTTCAGTTTGTATTGGCAGATTTCATGGGCCTTTCACACCTTTCCCTTTAAGGTCAGGGTAGAGGGTGAGAATATGGCTTCAGTTTTCGTTTATTTCCGCACGTTCTTGTATTGTTTTGGAATATAAGAAGCCTGCAACAGTTGGTGCTTCTACATTGCAGCTTCTATGTATGTTTTTTGGGATGTATCTTAATTGATTACACTTGTAGTATCATCAAGCCCTAGAGAGTTCGTTTACAGTATGATGGTGTTGGGATTTCACTTCATAGTATGTACTTTTAATTAGAGATCTTGTTCTACTTTTGCTTTCATTTTCATAGGGCTTTTATGGTAGCACATGCTATTGGGGACTTAATTACCGGCGACACCGTAGAACCAGAAGTGATTGTAAGTGCAGCTCCCTCTGTTGGAGGGCTTTTTGATTCACTCACTGGTAGTATAGGCATTTCTTCCAGGGCAAAACCTGTAACTCCACCTGTTGCTTCTTCATCCCCTTCAAGTACATCTGTACCAGGGTCAGTTACAGCCGATGCTCCAAAAATTGGGTCTAGACCATTGGATAAAGATGCACTCAGAACATTTATCAGTAGTTCAATGCCCTTTGGTTGGTACCTTTTATTATGGTATTTCTCATCTCATATTTTTGTAGTGGATTTTCTTCTAAGCTGTCAGTTACCTAGTGCTTGTAAATTTATTCTATCAATGCACATTTTTATACAGGCACACCCTTGGACCTTAATTATTCTAATATTTTTACTATAAAGGCCAATGGTTTTTCTGCAACGGATTTGCCTCCTTCGGACCAAAAGCAGCCAGCTTGGAAACCATATTTATACAAAGGAAAGCAGAGAATATTGTTTACCATTCATGAGACTATTCACGCGGCTCTGTATGACAGAGATGAAATTCCAGATACTATATCAGTTTCTGGTCAAATAAATTGTCGAGCTGATTTGGAAGGGTTGCCAGATGTGTCATTTCCCTTGGGTGGGTTGCACAGAGCAAGCCTTGAAGTTTTATCATATCATCCTTGTGCTCAAGTTTCAGATCAAGGTTTGGACAAGCAAGGTGTGATGTTTTCTCCACCGTTAGGTAATTTTGTGTTGATGCGTTATCAGGCAACTTGTGGCCTTGGACCCCCCTTAAAGGGATTCTATCAGTTGTCTATGGTTTCTGAGGACAAAGGCGCATTTCTATTCAAGTTACATTTAATGGAAGGATATAAGGCCCCTTTGACAATGGAGTTCTGTACCGTGACTATGCCCTTTCCTAGGAGGAGGATTGTGTCTTTGGATGGGACTCCTTCTGTGGGAACAGTTTCAACTTCAGAGCACTCTGTTGAATGGAAAATTGTGACAAGTGGCCGAGGACTGACTGGAAAAAGTATTGAAGTGACCTTCCCTGGAACTGTCAAGTTTGCAGCATGGAAAAACCAAAGGTTGTCTTCCTCCATGTCATCCTTTGGAATCGATGCTGACGAGGATAGTGATAATGAGGCAGAGAATGCCAGTAACATGGTTAACGAAGAACATTTGATGGAGAAAATGAATAAGGATCTTCCTCCAGTTGATTTAGAGGAGCCATTTTGCTGGCAGGCATACAATTATGCTAAAGTACGCGCCTTCTCATTTTCATTTTTATCTTTGAGCAAGGCATCCACATTATCTCTAAGAGTTTAATGAATTTGCATTTTTTGTTGACTGATTTTTCTTACTTTTTTTCTTTTGGTTTTTCATTGGTTGATGCTTTTGGTTATATTTCCGTGTCATATAATCAGATTCTTAGTGCTGAAATTTAGGAATTGGATAGAGAAGAGGAAAGAAAAAATATAATAAACTAATAGGACTCAGAATATTCCCATTTCTACTACTACTGTGGGCCATATACAAATACAGTACACCCACACAAACCCAGCCCGATTGGACCTCTAACATAACTAGACCTATTGTCCAATAATAATGTTAACAATAAAAATGGTAATTTACTTTTGCACATTTTTTCTAATTTCTTAAATATTATATTAGTTAAATTTGTTACAAGATTTACTTAGCTTTCATTATTTGAAGTTTTTAATTTTTTTTCTCCTGCGTGATGTGATCTAACTAGGAATACTGGGCTTTTATGAATTTAGTTTCTTCTCTAACATATAGTTGTTGGCATATTGTGTAATTTAGTGCTTTCTTATGTAATAGTCTACTCATTTATCTCTTAATTATTTTTTGATCTATCATTTTCTTTCTTGTGTTAGCTGTCTGTGCCAGTCTTGGCACTTCTTGAATAAATGTGAAATTGACCCTTGTTCTGTCAAAGCTTTATAGAAAATTGACTTCATATTGGTTAAACTGTCTTAAAATTGATAAATATGAATTTCATTAGACTAATACTACATATCTTGAAAGTGTGTTTAAGTCTTTAATTCCTTAAAGATTATATTTTATCATATTAATATTTTCATTATTACAGGTATCATTCAAGGTTGTCGGGGCATCAGTATCTGGAATTGCCGTTGATCCTAAATCTGTGAGTCTGCAAATCTATTTTTGCTGCCAATTTTTTCGATAAAGCAATTTAGATCCAACATTGATTCATTTTCAAAAAGTTTATGCTATTTTAGTTTAGTATATAATTGATTATTAACTTATTGTTTCCACGCTTTTTTTTTTGCTGTTCCACAGCCATTTCATGTAGTTTATTTATCATATTTGTTCTTATTTCTCCATGGAATCTCTAATTTTTCTTCAAAATATATATGAAGAAGAGGACTGATCTAACCATACTGAATTTTTTGCGCTTTGGAACCCTCTCCTTCTCCCTTTTGTTATCTGTCTGATAATTTGATTATTTTGTAGGTGGGCATCTATCCAGCTGTAAAAGCACCTATGGAGTTTTCAGCTCAGGTATAGATATATTTACTAGATTTGTTTTTGTTTATGTAGAACCAATGATTCATACTTTAAGCGAACCCACTGAATATGGTAAATGATAAATCTCCCAAAACTTTCTGCTCCTTTCAGTGAGTGATATCTATTCATGTCTTTTATCATTTCTGGTCATAAACAGGTTACTTCTGGGGACTATATTCTGTGGAATACTCTTGGCAAGTGTCCAAATGTAGCCACAATAAAAAGTTAAGTATGAATGGCCACCGAGGGATGTCTAAATGATGTGGAATACTCTGGAATGGTGTTTTTTTCTTTGCCGAGTATTGTGGAGACAGTATGTTATTGAATCTTTCTCCTAGTGGCCATTTAGAAAGTAATAAATGTTTTTGGAGTTGTAATTAGGATGGGATTAGTTGACAGGAAGTATTGGTCTCTCAACAAACATATACTATTATCAGCATGTTATGAAAAGTAAATTTTACCGATCTAATTTGGATGGAAGTTTTAATATAATGGCTATTTTATATTTTCATACAATCAAATTAATTGATATGTTTGAGGTTCACATTATTTTTATAAACAATTTACTATTTATTATATAAGAAAAAACCATTAATATAATTATATCACATGTTCATGAACTTTTAAATTATTTAATTTCTTTAATATGTTATATATTAATTTATTGAATAAAATGATTAAGTTGATAAAAGTTCTCATTTATATAAGTTATTATAGGGTAACCGTGAAATTTGCAAACATTTGCACATATGTTTACCACAAAAGTTAGCATTTTTGTTTTTATTCCCTGATAATTATAATTTGGGAGACATAATCTTACTGGATTATAAGACAGGAAAATGAAAGAAAGTGAGGAAACGGGGAAAACAAAAGAGAGATAAAATTTAGTGAAAAATGTTACTTAATTTAGAAGAAAATTAAAAGTTATTTATTTTTTGCGAGACCAGATAAGAGGGTACAAATTTAGAAAATATATTTTTATGTTTTTTATTTTTTTATATATTGGTAAGAAATATAGCATGTGAAACTTTTGAGAAAATGATCTTAACTAGTAAATGAGTTTGTATGATTACTACTATTGAGGCAATAAAGTATTGTTGTTTAATTTTTCGTCCATTCGATAAATAGAGAAATGTGGTTTGGTTTACAGAACTAGTCTTTTTGCTTCACATTATAATCTTGGCGGAATACATTTTCTGTGTGTACAACATTTGCTGGAATTTTGGATTTTTTTTTGCACTAAATTATATTTTACATTATTAATTAAGATGAAATAATCTGGTCTTTAATTGTATTAGAATTTTAGTTTAATAATTATGTACATATTATTAATCAATATTATAACTTTAAAAACTACTATTGTACAAAATAACAAATTTATTATGCATCAGAATGTAAAATAACACTATTGTTTTCAGTGAATTAATTTTTAAAGATTTAAAATATAATCTCAATACGAATTAAAAATTGCTATCAAATAAAATCTACAAATTTTAAATTCTTCTTGCTTTTTATGAAATGTTAAAAGAATGTTAAGTATTTTCAATAAAAAAATAATTTATTGATGCATTTTATTATTTTATACAACTTTAGCAAATTTAATTTAAAAGGAATTGAAAATGTATTATATATGGAAACCAATTTTTTAAAAGAAGAGTATCATTTATAAAAAAAAATGTTTGAAATAAACCGATTAAATCAATATGTTTCATGAATTATTGGATTTTTTCAAATTTGTGACTTTAACTAAAATAATAAAAATAAGTAGAGGATTAACATCAGCGTCAGTGTATAAATTTTACAAATGTTTGTATGGGTGAACTTTATAAGTTAATCTAGAAATTTATTAAGAATTTAAGTTAATTTTATATATATATATATATATATATATATATAAGTTGAAGGTAGTGGGAAAAATTATAATTGAAAGATAGGGCTGACGTAATGAAGCGGCTGTGAAGGCTATTTATTTTGATGCTATGTGGATGCAGAAACAAGTGAACACAACAGAAAGTTGGATGAGATGGGATCTGAAGAGAGAGTGGTTAGGGTTAGGGTTTTGCATCTGTGGGAGAAGAAGATGAAGCTATGCGACTTGTCCTCCTCATCTGATATCAAATTGAAGACCGCCTTGCCTACCTTCTCACTGCATCCCTTTCGAATGAAAATAGGGTTTTCCTATTTTCATTTTTAAAATAGGCATTGCATTGCATTTCGATGCAACTTCCAATTCCAATGCCTATTTTAAAATGAAAACAACAATACGCTGTTTTCGTTTGAAACTGTTGTGAAGGAAGATAAAGCTAACGAGTTCTTCAATTTGATTTCAGCTGACGAGGACCTTTATATCATCAACACCTTCTGCTCTCTTGCTTTCTCTGGGTAAACACCGTTTTTTTTTTATTTACTCTTTGTTATTTACTCTTTGTTATTTACTCTTTTTTATTTACTCTTTTTTATTTACTCCTGATCTTAGCTCTGCTCAATTATTCTGTGGTTAAGTTCTTTTCTACATGTTTCACTCATAATTACAGTGCCAAATGTATGCTTTTTTTTTCTCTGAAGAGAACCTGGGAAAAAGGGTTTTCTAGCTTTTTTTCCTCTTTTAATCCATCCTCCCAATATACCCAACTTCAGACTATACTTTTATTTAAAATATGCTTTTACTCAATTA